CCTGCTTATGCAGGGGGTCGGACTCGATGATCTATTGAGGTCCCTTCCGACCCTAACGTCTATGAATCTATGAATCTAGCAAGATGATAAATGTTTTTATTTCCAAATTAAGTCAATGGATGTTGGGACTTTTCAGCATCTCTGTGGATGAGGCCCTACTAAAAACAAGAGTATAAAATAAATAGGACCAACATCTTCCTGGGGAAAATGAAACAAACTGCTCAACAAACAGGTCCCCTACCAAAAAAAAAAAAAAAGCCAAAGCTCCCTTGCAGAGAATTTGCCAAGTTTTCAAAAGAGAATCAAAATTCAAATTCTTCTGCAACAGACTTTTATGGCATGGGGGGGGGAAAGATCAGGGTAATGTAAAACATTACACTGTGCTGTATGTAAAAGAGCTCAGAGTTCCAGTATAAAACTGGAGATAGGCCTGCTGAAAGTCTCTGGGTTAAGGTTAGAGGGAAGAACAACAAGGGTAATGTCATGATGGGCATCTGCTAGACCACCAGTCCAGAAGGGTGAGGTAGATGAAGTTTTCTTCAGCCAACTAGTAGACGTTTCCTGATCACAGGCCCTAGTTCACATGGGGGACTTCAATCATCCTGAAATCTGCTGGGACAGCAATACAGCAGTGCATAGGAAATCCAGGATGTTTTTGGAGAGCTCTAAGGAAAACATTCTGGTGCAACTGTTGGAGAGACCAACTAGTGGCCAGGATCTTCTTGACTTGCTGCTTAGAAAGAGGGAAGAATTGATGGGGGATGAAGAAGTGGATGCCAACTTGGCCAGCAGTGACCATGAGATGATCAAGTTTATGATCTTGATAAAAGCAAGAAAGGAGAGCAGCAGAGATGGACCTGGACTTCAGAAAATCAGGCTTGACTCCCTCAGGGAACTGATGGACAGGATCCCTGGGGAGGACAGGCTGAGGGAAGGAGTCCAGGAAAGCTGGTTGTATTTTAAAGAAACCTTACAGAGGGTGCAGACTCACCAGACTACTGCACCTGACAGCACAGTTTGGGGCAGTGAATAGCCCTTGGTGCTGAAAGAACAGGTCAGGAACTATTTAGAAAAGCTGGGCATGTACAAGTTCATGGGGCTGGATGGATTGCATCTGAGGGTGCTAACAGCAGTGGCTAATGTGATTGCAGAGCTGCTTGCTGTTATCTTTGAAAACTTGTGGCTATTCAGGGAGGCCCCAGACAACTGGAAAAGGGCAATTATAGTGCCAATCTTTAAGAAAGGGATGAAGGAGGAGGCAGGGAATTACAGACCAGTCAGCCTCGCTTCAGGTCCTAGAAAAATCACAGAGCAGGTCCTCAAGGAATCCATTTCTAAGCACTTGGAGGAGAAGAAAGTGATCAGGAACAGTCAGCATGGATTCAATAAGGGAAAGTCATGCCTGACCAACCTGATTGCCTACTATAATGAGATGACTGGCTTTGTGGATATGATATACATTGACTTTAGCAAAGCTTTTGATACGGTCTTGCACAGCATTCTTGCAAGAAAGACGAGGAAGTATGAGTTGGATGAATAGAAAGCTGGCTGGATCATTAGGCTCAACAGTTAGTAATCAATGGTTCAAGGTCTATTTGGCAGCTGGTATCAAATGGAGTGCACCAGGGGTTGGTCCTGGTGCTGGTTTTGTTCAATGTCTTCATTAACGGTCTGGAAGATGGGATGGATTGCACCCTCAGCAAGTTAGCAGTTGATATCAAGCTGGGGGTGTAGTAGATAGGCTGGAGGTTAGAGCTAGGATTCAGAGTGACCTAGACAAATTGGACGATTGGGTCAAAAGAAATCTCATGAGGTTCAACAAGTACAAGTGCAAAGTCCTGCACTTAGGATGGAAGAATTTCATGCACCACTACAGGCTTGGGACCAACTGGCTAAGTAGCAGCTCTGCAGAAAAGGACCTGGGCATTGCAGTGGAAAATAAGCTTAATTTAAGTCAACAGTCATTGTTGCCGAAATGGCTAAAAGCAAACTGGCCTTCATTAGTAGGAGTGTTGCCAGCAGATCAAGGGAAGTAATTATTCCCCTCTATTCTGGTGAGGCCCCATCTGGAGTACTGTACCCAGTTTTGGGTTCCCCACTCCAGAAACAAATGTAGAAATATTGGATAGAGTCCAGTGGATGGCAACAAAAATGTTTAGTGGGTTGCAGCACATGAGTTAGGAGAGGCTGAGAAAGCTGAGCTTATTTAGTCTACAGAAGAGGTGACTGAGTAAGGTTTTGATAGCAGCCCTTAACTACCTGAAGGGTGGTTACAAAGAGGATGGAGCTAGACTGTTCTCAGTGGTGACAGATGAC